AGGGTTTAGGGGCAGAGCTGTACATACAAAGGTACAGGCATGCTAGCAAGCTGGAGATAGATAGATCGATCGACAGATAGATAGACAGAGAGATAGATAGATAGATAGATAGATAGATAGATAGGCAGGTAGATAGATAGATAGATAGATAGATAGATAGATAGAAAGGTACAAGCACGTCCGTGCTTTGATCTTCAGGGTTAGTCGAAGACCCTGTGTGTTCTGACAGTGCTCTCAAGGCAATCTGTCAGGCTTAATCGAGGCGGGCGAAACCCTAAACCCTAAAACCCTAAGCCCTCAACTCAGCCCTAAACCCCTAAAACCCTGCTTCTGGCAGTGCCAGTCTCACGGTTTTGTTAAGCCTTCGTGCGCAAGGAGCTGAATGCCGACAGCCCCTAGACCCCAGGAGCAGCAACAAAAACGCCAGAAGCCCCAGACCCTAAGGTCAGAAACACTAGACCGAACACCCCTGAGCCCTGAAAGCAAAAGGAGTAACGGTTTAGGGTTTAGGGTTCAAGGGCGCAAGCATTCCATTTTTTTGCAGGAGCGCCACGAAGAGCGATCGCCCACTTTGGATGCTCAGCGTTTGGGCGAGGCTTTGACGGGAAACTTTTTTTTGCCATAAAGGTCCAAAGGACCGATAACTAGGTACTGGGGTTTAGGGTTTAGGGTACTAGCAATGCAGGTAATTCCCCCAGAGGGTCCATGCACACTACCATTATGGAATTAGGTCCCAAAAGACCATCTTTATTATGGCTTTGGGGAAATAATTCCACAATAGTAGTCTATATGGACCCTCTTGGTCAGATCCCCTCAAAAGGAAAACCCCCAAACCCTCAGAAAACTCTTTAGAGAGCCTTTCTAGGATCCCCCTTCCAGGAAGCTTCATAATCGTGGTATATATGGACCCTCTTGAAACCCTAAACCCTAAACCCTAAACCCTAAACCATAAACCCTAAACCCTAAACCCTAAACCCTAAACCCTAAACCCTAAACCCTAAACCCCAAACCCTGACCCTCTTGGTCTGTGGCCCCTTACAGAATCGGACTCAGCGGGAGACTCAGATCCGAGATTGCTGAGCCCTATGTGGGGGTTTCCGAAATAGGGGACCCTAATATAGTACCCCAAATAATAGGATCCTTATTATAAGGACCCCAAAATAAGGTACCCCTAATTTTCGGAAACTCCCATGTAGAGGCCTTATTAACCCGCCGAGGCTTGGGTGTTTAGGGGTTTAGGGCTTTAGGGGTAATAAGCTTCGGTGCTGCTGATCCTGCAGAGATACGCTCCAACGCAGCTCGCTAACTTGATATTGCTAGGCCGTAGGTTAAACCCTAAACCCTAAACCCTTTTTCAGGGTTTCGATTCTGATTGGACCCGAAATCTAGACTTTCTTTTGTTTACCACATCCCTTATTCGAGCCTCGGTACCCATTATTTAGGGCCATAAGGCCTCTAGGGGGTACTTGGGAGGATTTGTTCAGAGAAGGGGTTTAGGGTTTAGGTTGGTTGGTTGGTTTAGGGTTTAGGGTTTAGGGTTTAGGGTTTAGGGTTTGCGAAGGAGGCTTATTGAGAGTGGCACGGGTGATTGGTATAGGAGCTGGAGGAGATAGTAAGTAGACTGACTATGTCGGAAGCCTCGGATTTCGCGAGGACGCATAAAGGATGTAGCATCGGGACGTAGCTGCGTAGGACCCCACCCATACTCTCCAGTGTAGTTCTTTTTGGGGTTACCTTATGCAGAACAAATTTGGTTAAACTCCAAGCCCTGGACCATCCTAATTAAACCCTAAGCCCTAAACCCTAAACCTTAAAGGGTTTAGGGGGCTTGCCGTTCCCGTCATAGAACCCTTGTAGAAATTTTTTCCAAGCCCCATATAAAGCCTAAATCTCTGAACCCTCTTCGTAAGAAGGGTTCAGGACTTTGGGTTTAGGGTCCTTGATTGGGTTTCGGCACCTCAGTTTCCCTGTGGCAGGTTGGACCTCTTCGCGGCAGCAGTGTGCTTCAGCCAGCGTATGGTTTAGGGGTTTATCACTTGGGGTTAAGGGCTATAAAACACTAAACCCTAAAACCCTAAACCCTGAAACATAAAGCCCTAAACCCTAAAACCCCGGCCGTAGGGAGTACTTGTAGCCTTGTTTATATATGTGCCAGATCTTCTTATCCAAGGGCCAGATCCATATCCCAAAGGGTCCGAAGTACCCACTTGGTAAAAAGTAGGATTTCTATAGCAGGAGTTGCTAGTATGGTTTGGGCATGTATCCCCCCATAGAGGTACTTAGGACCCATTGGGTATCACACGCTTTCAGGTAAGAAAACAGAAGCCTGCTCTATCTTAGGGTTTGGGGTTTAGGGTTTGTCTTCATTGTAGTTCATACTTTTTGGTTCGCCAGTTGTAACTTGCTAACCAACAATTGAACTAGAATGGAGACTAGAGGTAGGCCCCAAAGGCTCACCTTCCGAAGCACACCTTTCGAAGCACAACATAACTAAACCCCTACAACAAGGCTTATGGGCCTGTGGCCTACGGAAGCCTGAGAAAGCCCCAATGGCCATTGTACAAACCACGTGAAGATCTGTTCGGAGAGCGGCGCTCCCTTCAACTTCGAAACTCTAAACCGCCAAACACCGCCTGAGACCCTAAACCCAAAGCCCTAAACCCTAAACCCTAACCCTTAAGCCCTGAACCCTAATAAACCCTAAAACCCTAACCCCTAAACCCCTAAACCCCTAAACCCCAAAGCCCTCAAGCACAAAGAAGCCCCGAGGTCGAGTACATGGGGCCGCAGCGAAGTCCGCAGACGCCGGGCGGAAGCGACCCGGAGGGCTCTCTCTTCGTGCTCCTTGTCCAAAAAATAGTAGTGAATTTGATAATAGTAAACAATAGAACCATTAAATAATACAGTCATTACAGTAATACTACTAGCATGAATGGTCTTATGTGTTGTTGTTGTTGTTGA